CCTACTCTGAGATGAGCCAGGCCGTCCTCTGGAGCCTGAAATTTCTAGAGGAGGCCACACGGCTCTTGTGCCAGAGATAGCTGCCTGAAGCCTGGATGGCTCCCCTGGGCACAGGGGGCTGGGGGCTGGGGCTGGGGTCCCTGTCCTCTACACCCCAGGGGAAGGCCTGAAGCAATGGTGCCCTGCTGAGAGGGTCCCCTCCCGCTGGCTGATTCTGAATTTCTCCAGAGACTCAGCTCTGCTTACAAGGTGCTCTGCGTGGTAGAAAAGCCAGGAGTTCTGGATTCAGACAGACTAGGGTTCAAATCCCAGCTCAGCCCCCGACTAGCTGTGTAACTAGTTTACACTCTCCTTTGAGCCTCAGTTGCTTTATCTGTCAAATGGGGGCAACGCACCCGAGCTGCTAGAGTTCTTGTGAGACACCAAACACAAACCGTCTGTCTCAAATGATGCCTGAAGACATCATTTCTCTCCCCTTTATGGTTATCTTGTAATGAATAGAACTTTCGCCAGGAGGGGTGGGAATTCCAGGCGGAGGACCCTGCCCTGGTAAAGGCATGGCGTCATGAACGGGTTGGTCGGTTCCTGGCAAAGGGCCACTGCCTGACATTTGGAGGGAGCATCTGCCCCCTAGTGGCAGCGCTGCAAACCTACACCACCTTGTCCCTTGCTTCCTTTGGGGATTGGGGTGCACTGATGTGCTGGCCACTGTGACAGCAGCTCGCGTGCCCTGGGCAGGTCTGGGCCCTGTAATGCCCTTCACAGCCTTGCTCCTGGGATCCCCCATCACCCCCGGAAGTGGAAAGGCACAGACTGTCGGCCGTGGTTATAGGGAGGCGCCGGCGCTCCGAGGCTGAGTCAGGATTTAAAAACCCCAGTGGCCTGGACATGCCCTCTCCTGAATCACCTGGTGCCTAGTGGCCCCGTCCGCCCAGAACTCGCCGCCCCCCCATGATTGCGCAGACCACCCTGGGCACTGAGTGCTGGGGACCAGGCGCCGGGCAGATGCCTGCAGGGGTTGCTGCACTGGGATGACCTGGCCCCGCTGCTGCAGAACGTCAAGACCCAGCTGTGTCCGCTGCAGAAGTGTCACTGCAAGCAGGGGCAGTGTTGGCAGTTGGGACATGGTGTCACCTACCAGAAAGACACCAGCCTTGACACGCACGCATGCACGCACGCACGCACACCAACAGCTACAGTGTGAGTCCGGTCTGCCAGCCCCCTGGGTGGGTGCTGGGGTCTGGGGGGCTACTGCCCCGTCGACCATCATCACCCTCAGAACACACAGGCACACGCACAGATACACAAAGACACACACGGACAGACACATACACAGACAAACAGACATACACAGACACACAGACATACACAGATACACACCCCCCACTTGCCTCCCCTCGGCGACTGTTCCCTCTCAAGGAGCTTCTCTAAGACGAGCAGATGTTACTTTACAGATGGGGAAACTGAGGCCCAGACAGTTAGGGAACAGTCCCAGGGCATCGTGCTGAGCACTCAGTCCTTATATAATGTTTGTGGTTAATATTAAAATAATGGCATTTAATGAGTGGTTATTATGCACTGTGTTCGGTAATCCCCATGTCTCTCTGATCGTTCACAGGGCCTGACCTAAGTATTGCTTAATTTTACCCACACCTACTTTACAGATGAGAAAATGGAAGCTCAGAAAGAATAAGTTGTGGCCAAAGTTGATGACTAGAGCCCAGGATTTCCAGACTTAAGCTCTTGCACTGCCCCCTGCTGGCCTTGGGAATGTGGTCTAGTTACTCCTGGAACTCCAGCTCCTCATTGTAACTGGAGCCAACGTCCGTATTCTTCTGGCCTCGGGGACTACTGGGAGGACAGGAATTCCACAGGCAGTGTCAGGCTGCTGCGTGGCACAACCCAGGGGCACCATTCACACTGAAGTCTGTATAATCGGCATCCCCTGGGATGTAGCTCATTCACAATGCAGCAGCAATGATGTGATTTCTGAGTAAAGGCATGTCTGTCTACCTACTCACAGTGTATTCATTTCATATTCTTCCCAAGAAAAGGGAAGAAATTACATGGTGATGTCAGAGGGTCTCAAGGGTCTCCTGCAATAATCACACTGGGCCTCTTGGTTGACAGCTATCAGTCATTTGGTCAATATGGGGGTGAGGGGACAGAGGACAAAAGTTAGGCCCAGGTCCAGAGGCCACTCACTGGACCTCCAGAGCTTTTGGGCCTTCGAATTTGTATTTCTCTCAAGTCTCTGCGATGCTGTCGTTGCTGGTCTCCAGACCACACTTTGAGAACTGTCACCCAGAACCGCAGCTATAGAATGATGGCACATCCCACGTGCCTAAGCTGGGCCTGCTCCACTTTGACCACCAACTGCCCCCTGCCTGGACATCAGCACCCCTTCTGCATGAGGGGCTGGGCCTGGCCCCCTGGGAGGTGCTGGGCGGGCACTGCCTTCTCTGCCCAGGTGCAGTTCTCTGGCTTGCTGGCTATGCCTGCGAGGGCTCTATGCCCTTCTGGCCCCTGCCACCTTCCTGCTGTGCACCTGTTGTGCTTTTGTAGGTCTAGTTCAGTCCTTTTGTAACGCTCCTCAGGGAGAGAACAATTGGAACAGATGCCTGGTGTGGCAGTGGCATGGCCATGAGTCTCATTTGCAAACAGCAGTTGAGCATTTGGGGAGCTCCCAGCCTCGCCAGGGCAGGGCTGGGGCCATGAACCGGACGCACAGGGCCTGCACTCAGTGACGCGGCTGTCTCAGACTGCTGGCATGCACCAGAAATGTGGACGGCTGTCTTTTCTGGGGTTTTTTGCCAAACAGAAAGCCCTCTCTGCCCTGACCTTACCCCTTTAAAGCACTTTCCTCTTGGGTTCCATGTTAGCTGGAGAAAGGCCTTTGAGTGCATTTGGAGGGTAAAAGCACTGGTTCTGGTACCTTATAAAATGTCATGTAATATGACCTCCCAGCTGGACCCTGGGACAGGCAGACAGCAACAGTCTAGGACTTGGATATTTTCTGAGATCAAGAGCTCATGGCTGGGCACGGTGGCTCACACCTGGGAGGCCGAGGCGGGCAGATTGCTCGAGGTCAGGAGTTCGAAACCAGCTCTGAGCAAGAGCGAGAACCCGTCTCTACTATAAATAGAAAGAAATTAATTGGCCAACTAATATATATAGAAAAAATTAGCCAAGCATGGTGGCGCATGCCTGTAGTCCCAGCTACTTGGGAGGCTGAGGCAGCAGGATTGCTTGAGCCCAGGAGTTTGAGGTTGCTGTGAGCTAGGCTGATGCCACGGCACTCACTCTAGCCTGGGCAAAGAAGTGAGACTCTGTCTCAAAAAAATAAATAAATAAAGACAATAAGATGGGGGGAAATGGTGAGGAATTTAAAAAGGATCATTGTTTTTGATATTTAAAGAGCTGTTACAAAATGAAAGAATAAAATGATACCAATTGCTCATATTTAGCAAATTGCAAAATAAATTAAAATGGCTTATAAACATGAAAAATATTTCAACCATAAAATTTTTACCCATCAACAAAAACTTAAGCAAATGGACTAATGCTCGGAAGACAGGCTCTCCAACACCGTGTGAATGTTTGCATAAACTCTCTGGAAAGCACTTTGATAAGAAGTCTCAAGAGGCTTAAAAAATGTGAATGTCCTTTGGCTTAGTACAGTGAACCTTCTGTACCCATGAGTCCATGTGTGGATTCAAACAACCTTGAATCAAAAATATTCAGGGAAAAAAAACAATAAATAATGGAAGTACAACAATAAAAAATAATAAAATGTAAAAAAAAATACAGAATAACAACTATTCACATTGCATTTACGTTGTATTAGGCATAAGTAATCTAGAGGTGACTTAAAGTGTAGGATATGCGTAAGTTATATGCAAATACCATGCCATTTTCTTTTTTCTTGTTTTAGTAGAGACATGGTCTTGCTCTTGCTCAGGCTTGTCTCGAACTCCTGAGCTCAAATGATCCACCCGCCTTGGCCTCCCAGAGTGCTAGGATTACAGGCGTGAGCCACTGTCCTCATCACGGTGCCATTTTCTATCAGGGACTTGGGCCCCTGTGGATTCTGGTGTCCTCAGGGCATCCTGGAACCGATTCCTCAGGGATACCAAGGGACAACCATAAATCCAGCTCAAAAACTTAAGTTAAGGCCGGGTGCGGTGGCTCACACCTGTAATCCTAGCACTCTGGGAGGCCAAGGCGGGCAGATTGCTTGAGCTCAGGAGTTCGAAACCAGCCTGAGCAAGAGCGAGACCCCGTCTCTACTATAAATAGAAAGAAATTAATTGTGCAACTAATATATATAGAAAAAAATTAGCTGGGCATGGTGGCGCATGCCTGTAGTCCCAGCTACTCGGGAGGCTGAGCCAGGAGGATCGCTTGAGCCCAGGAGGTTGAGGTTGCTGTGAGCTAGGCTGATGCCACGGCACTCACTCTAGCCTGGGCAACAGAGTGAGACTCTGTCTCAAAAAAAAAAAACTTAAGTTAATTTGATGGTGAGTACATGTGGTACTTGTTTTTCCGTTCTTGTGATACTTAGTAGAATGGGCTCCAGCTCCATCTAGGATAATGCAAGAGGTGCCAGATCACCATTGTTTTTTGTGGCTAAACTCCCTGGTATACATATACCACATTTTATTAATCCACTCATGTATTGATGGGCGCTTGGATTGTTTCCACATCTTTGCAATTGTGAATTGTGCTGCTATAAACATGCTAGTGCAGATGTCTTTTTTATAGAATGTTTTTTGTTCCCTTGGGCAGATGCCCAGTAATAGGACTGCTGATGGAAGAGAGGAGGAGGAGCTGGGTATATATGCACCTAATGGGTGTGATGTGCACTGTCTGGGGGATGAACACGCTTGAAGCTCTGACACAGGTGGGGCAAAGGCAATATATGTAACCTAAACATTTGTATCCCTATAATATGCTGAAATTTAAAAAAAAAAAATTTTTTTTAAACCTTAAGTTAACAAAACCAGAGCTATTTGGTTCAAAGTGATAGAAAGCTTTACTCGGCTTCAGAAAAAACCATACTACATTAAGTTCTGAACCTGGAAAGACAGGGGATCCTTGCTTGAGGCAACTTCGCCAGGAGTGCCATGGCGACAGAATCATCTCTCTCCCTCTCTGGGCTCTGCTAGCCTACATCTTGCTTTTACCCTCAGGTTCGGCACAAACAGGTGGCTGCCAGCACCCTCAGCCCTGCACCCTCTGAAGTTGAAACCAGAGGAGAAAAGAGTATGTCCATCCCCAGATACTCCCAGCAGGTCCCAGGATCCGCTCCGATTGGATCACCCTGGGTCCTGCGCCTCTCTTTAGACATCACTAACTGGCCAGGCTGAGACTCCATGTCCATTCCTGATCTGATCTCTCTCTGTACCGTGGCAGGGGGCCAGCCTTTGAGTGTCAGCGAGATGGAATGTCTTTCATGGCTGGAGGTCGTTCCCCGGAGCCGGCGGTGGCTGCCACAAGAACTTCGTGGACTGACAGAAGGGGACGGGTGGTTCCCCCAAAGGGAAATCAGGGCTCTGTTATCAAGGGGAGCTGGGACCTGGCGCTGAGCAAGCAGACATCAGAAATGCCTGTGACAGCTGCCAACCAAGTTTCTGCGCAAAGACGTTCATCCCATTGCTATTTATAGAAGTGCAAATTGGGAAGACCTAAATATCCCAGAGGAAGAGATCAATAAATTATGCCAAAACTTTATGATTTTATGATTCTGCAGCCACGTGCTTTCAAAAATATTCAATGTAAGAAAAAATATCTATAGGGTGTAATGTGAAGTGAAAAAATTAGAGGTTAAAAAAAGTAGAATATAACCCAATTTAGTAAAAATTATATATGTATATAATCTATATATGTAAGAGGGGAAGGAAATACGCCAAAGCAATGCTTCTAAGTGGGAGAATCAAGACCCTGTAGGGGAGCAGCAAATATCAGACCCACCTGTTGTGGTAGACTGGACAACCGGCCCACGGTGTCCACCCCCTGTGGCAGCAGCATACACCTGCAGCCCGGCCAGAGCCTCCAGGTGGACAGAGCAGTCATCTCACCTCTTGACTTGGGGTTGGCCATGTGACTTGTTCTGACCAATAAGATGTCAGGGATTGTGACACAAGCAGAGGCTTCAAGCATGACTGTGCTGTGAGCTTACCACCCGCCAGTGCGGCCACCTGGGTCTCTGGGAGCCCCTGCTTCCAGGAGGGGCAGACAGGGACCCAACCTGCAGCTCGGATCAACCTACATCGTTCAATCCTCAGCACTCCACAGCCCCACCAGAGGGAAATAAATGCTTAACCCACACAAGCCGGGGAAAGTCTGAGGTTGCTTATCACACAGGACGATACCTGTAGCCGTCGGATACTCCTGCACGCTGTTGCGATTCCAACCCAAGGACCACCCTCGCATGGGAGCCAGGCCACCTGAGGGCGGGAGCCGTGTCCCTTGGGAATGCCAGGGTACATCACAGGGGTGAGGAGCTCTGCTGGGCCGTGTTAGCTGTGGCCAGCCCCACATTGTAGGGCTCTATTTTTCTTTTATTATCTTCTTTATACTTCTGTATATTCTCCAAAGTTTCTGTGATGAGCATGTTTAACATTTATAACCAGAAAAAAATATCCAAAAATTGGAGACCAACTCTTCCTGGCATCTCCCCGATCCGAACCCTTGGTGTCCCCAAGAACAAGGCTGGTTGTCAAATCCTTCACTCACGTAACTTTTCAAGTCTCGGAAGACAAGGTTCTTGCATGTTGTATTTTCTCAAAGTTCATCAACTCTAGCTCTTGTATGTACCCCTGCTGCCACCACCACTGGCTCCTGCTCTCCGAGGGGGTCCCCAGTGGTCTCTAGCCTTACAACGTGGTGTCCCAACCTGAGCTGCACTCCCCAGGTAAGGAGGTTGCAGGCAGGGATTCCAGGAAACGTCGGAAGAGGTTTCCTTGCCATGGCTCCCTCACTCCCAGCCCCACACCCTGCAGGCCGCACGCCCTGTCCTGCCCTGCTCTTGGTTCAGGAGTGGCCGGGCCACTTGGGAGGCCGAGGCTCGGAGGCTGTACACGGCAGCCTGGCCTTGGCACTCCATGGGGATGTCCCAAACATGTCTGCACCTGCAGGTTCCTCTGTTTCTCTAGATAGGCATCTCCAGAAGACTCTGCACTCTTTCTGAGCCCGCTGGTGCCAAAGCTCGCCCCTGCCTTGTGGCGCTTGGGCTTTCTGCAGGACTCTCGGCATGTGAGATGCTGGATTCACCGGGGCCCAGAGAGGGAGCGCTGGGCCCGCCTGCTCTCCAGCACTGCGGAAGCAGCAGACGTGGTGGGCAGGAGCAGGGGACCTTTGCCTCTAACTCAGCACCTAGCAGGCCTGGCACAGAGCAGGTGCGCGGTGCTGAATGAACAGGTGCGTGTGTGAGCGAATGAGGGAGCTGGTTCCTGCTGGGGTACCAGAGCGCTGCTCCCCTCGCCCTGCCTCACTGCCTCGCCCCCACAGCCCGTGGGCCGGAGAGCGCTGGTTTCCTACCTCCCTTTTATAGGAGGAAGCTGCAGCGTGGGATGGTCCTGTGGCTTGCCCGAGGTCACATGGCCAGCCGGTCAGTGGTTGAGCCGGGACGTGAACTCAAGCGCAGCGGGCTCCAAACTGAGCAACTGTCATTGTAACAGGAAACGGCTTGGTAGTAAGCACAGAGCTAGCGCACGTCGGTGCTCGCGGTGCCCGGCAGCTCGCGGAGTGCTTTGTTGCTTAGGCAGCCTCGTGGCCCCGGGAGAGTGCGGGCTGGGACGGGTTAAAGGCTTGCCCAGGGCCGCACAGCCCAGGGGACAGGCCCCACGTCTGTCTGCTTCTGGAGTTGGTGCTCTTGGCCACTATAGGCTGAAGGGAACACGGTAGTGAGTCATAGACTAGAGGCAGGGTGGATGGCTCAAGCACACATCTTGGCGTCGGTTCCAGGAGGAATCAAGGGATCACTGTGTAGTTGTCGATCCCTGCCACTCAAAGTGTGGCCCGAGGACCTGCACCCTGGGTAACCCCTGGGAGCTGGGAGAAAGGCAGGGTCTGCATGTTAGCAAGCCCCCGGGTGGTCTGTGTGCTCAGTGGAGGTTGAAAGCGTTGGTCTCACTTGCTCTGGGTGAGTCTGGTGTCACCCGCCGGTGAGGAAGTGACTTGAGGGTGGCCGGCATCACCCAGGGGTTCCGCTGCAGGGGCTGTGAACCAAGGGGAGCAAGGCCTGCCGCTGCCAACCCCCTACTCCTGTCTCGCACCCGCGCTGCAGGACCAGGGCAGGAGGTGCTCTGTGTCCGCATGTGCTTTGGGTGGGGTTCCTTCTGTCCCTGTCTTCCACAGCCACTTCCAGCCTCACCTCCTCCGTGAAGCCTTCCCAGCTGCCCTTGCCCCAGACAGAGAGAGAGTAGAGCTTGTAGCTCCTCACCCAAGCCTCGTGAGAGCACCTCCCTTCTTATAGTTGTCACTCAGTTGTTTACACTGAGTGACACTTTTATCTCCCCCACTGACAGGAGAAGTTCTCAAGAAGAAAGGCTTTGTCTTAACCACATATCCCAGCACCCAAGTGTGCAGCCTGGCCCAGAATAGCCCCTCAGTAAACACGTGTTGGATGAATACATCCTTATAATCTCAGAATAAATGATGGATGAATGAATGAAAGTCTTAAGCAAAGGAGTGAATCTCTAAGTGAAAATTTTAAGGAAATCATGGGAGTCAAAAGCAAGGGGTATTTGAGGGGGGCAGAGTAACGGCCCTCAGGGTCATCTGTGACCCATGTACAGGTGCTGATGGATGCCTGGGACCACACCACCTCTCAGAATGAGCCACCTCCCCAGCGCCACCCAGATGAGCCCTACAGAGTCCCCCAGGTATTCATGGGTTCTCCAGGAGCACGACTGGGGGAGCAGCTCCCTCTCTGTCCGCCTCTACAGCACTAAGAATCACAGGAATTCTGTCACCAGTCCCCCTGGGCTGCTGCCAAGGAACGTGGGAGGAGGGGGCCTCAGGACCCAAGCCCAGGCCCGTGCTGTCTCCCGGGAGCCAGCAGAACTTGCTCGGGCTGGTGCAGCCGGACAGGCCCCGGGGCCCTTTCAAGCCCCTCGGGGAGTTGGGGCGGGGGATGGGAAGAGACAGAAACCGGGGTGGACCCCTAGAAAGAGACACACGTGTGTGCACATGTGCACATATAGTGAAGTTTCTGCACTGTTGGATTATCCACAGGGCCTGGATGGACCATCACCAACGCTAGAGGAGGGATTTGGGAGGATCTGCCTGTAAATGGGGTTCTCCAATTTTCTTTTTCTCCTAACACACGGGGTAGTGTAGCGTATCCTTTACAAAGATTTCGAAAAGTTGATCTAAGACCTTTACACCATTTGGATTTTGCTGTCGTGTCCTGCACTGGCTACTGATGGGGGTGAAGGTGGCTTCCCCGTGAGCATGTATTCCCGCAATGACTGATTTTAATTGTTTCTATTTCCTGCGAATTCCCACAAGAAATTATTCTAGGCAAGATGCTGCCACGTGGACGATGCACAAGTTTTAATTTTCCTTACACACTGGCAGAAAGGTGAGGGTTGTGTGAGAGTCAGGAAGCCCCTCCGAGGGGAACAACTGCTGGCGGTCCGCCTGGGGGAGGCAGGGTCTTTCAAGAGCAACTGAAACGGAAACAAGGGCTCAGAGAGACACAGTGACTTGCTCAGGGTTGCACAGCAAACAGGTGGCAGAGCCCATGTCTGGCTGACTATAAGGCTAGGGGGATTTGCCTGATCAAAGCTTCTCAAACTTTCCCCCAAACATCCCTGATGGCAGAAGAGAACGGATTTGGACCTTTGGGGGCCTGGCACACAGGCCTGAGGGTAAAACCCAGAATTTCTTTGTCGTTTTGTGTTTCATCTGAAAGTGTTATGCAAGTGAATTTGCATTCTATTTCACAATACATTGCTGTAGGACAAAAATCATGTTTTGTCCCTGTAGAAAATCTTTGAGTAAAATCAATCATCCAGGAAGCCACTCCACGCTTCAGGTGCTGCCTGGCGGAGTTCAGTGGACCCTGGACCTCAGAGGGGGAGTGGCTCCTGCAACCCACGCAACCCTCCGCCGCCGTCTGTAAACACAGGCTCATGCTTCAAGCTTTTCCCAACCACTCCAAGGCCCAGTGTTTCTGAGCTTTGCTCTCCAGGGGCCTGGGGAGTTTCTAGAGATCGCAAAGCCCCGAACTGTTCCATCTTTCATGCCCTGTGAAATGGTGTCCGGGGCCGCCACTCGGACATCGGGCTCTGCTCAGTCTGACGGAGGCTGTGCCGTCTTGGGGTCCGGCCCACCGTCCACCTGGCTGGCGCCTCCCTAGGCCCTCTCTCTCCTGCAGCTCCATGTCCAGCCCACCACCACGTCCTGCCCATGCCCCCTCTGCTCTTGGATACTGTCCACTTCGGCCCGTCTCTGTGCCCCTCCCTAGTTCTAGCCATGCCCCATCCCTGGCCTGGACCACTGTACCCTCCTTCCTGGTTTTCTACTTCCACTTTTGCCCTCTCAAACCCATTCTACTCACAGCAGCCAGAGTGATCACTCAAAAACATAAAGCCAGTCATGTCTACCCTCCCTCTTGCCCCTTCCATGGCTCCCTGTTGCCCTTAAATCACACCCTTCCCAGTACAAGCAGGGCCTGCGTGATCTGGCCCTGCCACCTCTCGAGCCTGACCTGAAGCGCTCTCCTCCTTCTCGCCTGTGCTCCAGCCACACGGGCCCCTCCCAGTTTCCAGAAATCACCCGGCTCCTCTCCCAGGATCTCCACTAGTGCTGCCCCCTCCATATCTAATGCTTTTTCACTCAACCTTAGCTGGGTCCTCTCCCTCATTCATTTAGTGCATTTTTCTTGAGCACCTGCCACATGCCAGGTGCTGCGCTTGGTGCTCAGTGCACTGTGGTACCTAGTTCTTCCCTCTTGGTGCTTACTATCTAGTAGATGGGACCGATCCACGTGAATAATGATAAATTGTGATAAATAAATGCCAGGACGGAAAATAGCAAAGTGCTAAGGGGTGGGATCGGGAAGGAGGAGGACAAATTCAACCTCCTCCGACTCCTCTAACTCAGACCCAGCTCAAAACTCACCTCCTCTGGGAGCCCCCCCTTTGCCCAGACAGGCCAGGCCCTCGGCTGTCTGCTCCGCAACACCCGGTTCTCCTCCTTCCCGGCATGAGGCCCAGTTTGCGATTAGACAGCGATCCGCGCGACCAGAGTGGCAGTGAGGACTGTGCCGTGGAACAGCCGCTGTGCCTCAGTGGGAGCCCAGGGAAGGGCCCCCAAGGCTGGGTTCACCCACACAATGGCCAGGGCGGGGAGCATCATCAGCCGCATCACAGAGGAGCACGCTGATGCGGAGAGCAAGAAGGGCTGCGTTGGTTAGCCAATGCCACCTGGCGGCCACCCCACACACGTAGCAAAACCACGAAGAGTTATTATCTTCTTCTTACCCCTGTGGGCCGGGGACCTGGGCATGGCTTGGGGGGCAGGAGGGTTCCTCTGGCCCAGGCTTGAATCAAACTGCCGTCCAGGGCTGTGGTCTCAGCTGAAGGCCCCACCAGGGAGGCCCCACCAGTGTCTTCCAGGCTCACTCCCAAGGCCGTTGGCAGACGAAGCTCCTCTCAGGTTGCGGACGGAAGGCCTCGGTTCCTTGCCTGTTGGCCGAAGCCCTCTCTCTGCTCCTTCCTCGCCTGTGGATCTTTCCACAGAGTGGCTTGCAACACAGTCAGCGAGAGAGTGAAAGAGACCTAGCAAGCCGAAGCCACAGTCTCTTGGTGACCTAATCTCAGAAATGACATTGCATCACTTTGGCTGTAGCTTATTGGTTAGACGCAAGTCACTAGGTCCAGCCCACACTCAAGGGAGGGATTACACAAGGGCTGGGACACAGGAGGGGCGGGGAAGCGGTCCCCTGGGGCCATTTGCATGCTACTGTTCGCACAGGTCATGTAACCTTCCCAAGGTCTAGTTGCTGGGACATGTTCCAGCTGCCTTTAGGAGCGGGGCTCTCTGTCCCCTCTCTCCCCACCAAAGGGATTGAGGATGGGCTGGGATGGGCAGCTCTCTCCAAGCCCAGGGACCTCCCAGCCGCTGTGGCTTTCTGCAAACCACACCAAGTGCTTCTCTTCTCACAGAAGCCAGAGGCGGTTTCCTGCCCAGCCCAGGAGGCTGCGTGGGGCATCTGAACTGAGAAACATGAGCTTTCAAAATCCTGGAGTGCCCACAAATGGGCGGCTGCGTGGAAATTTGGCCCATCTATCATCCTCTAGGGCTGTGGTCACATTTAAACTGAAAAAGGAGGTGTGACATGGTCATGACCCAGTTTTATAAAATTATTTCTCCTCCAGATTTTCCTGCCTCACATTGGAAAAGACTCTCGTGCCTTCTCTCTGGGCTCCTCTGGGGATCCAAGAAATGCCACAGTCCTGGGGTTTCTCCCTGCTAAAATGAACCCTCACGGTGGGTCCCATCTCCTGGTGCTGTTGGGAAACGAAATCTCAATTATTTTGGGGGGCTCCCTTCCCATCCTCTCCCTAACCCCATTGGGCAGGCACGGTCCTGGGCAACTTACTCCGTGCAGAATAATTAAAGGTTACTTCCCTACTAGGACATAAGCTGAGCGAGGCAGTGACTTTTGTCAGTTTTGCGCAGTGGTGTACTTCATCAGTGCCCATCACAGCAGACGTGCAATAAATCTTTGTGGAGTGTGAAACGAATGTCTTTGGTCTTGTTGCTACACCTCTTGCCCAAACACACACGGTGCCTCAATGGGAAGGACAAAGAGCTCTTCCCCAGGCCAGGGGCCCGAGCTCCTGCATGCGATACAGGCTTTGCCCTTCTGGGTCCAGCAGGCGATGTGTGAATAAGCAGTGACCCGTTTTCTGCACTGGGAGTCTCCTCTGTTCTGGGACAACTGATTCCACCCTTCCCAGATTCCAGAAAATTCTCCCTATTCAACCAGATCCACCTCCCCATTCTCTAACCTCCCTAATCCCATCCTGCTTCCTAGAAAGAGCCTCCTCTCTCAAAAACAAAAGCCTGCAGGGCAGCCACGGCAGGGGGGGGCGTGGGCGGAGGCAGTTCCAGCTCTTCTACTTTCTGATCATCCCCAGCAAGGATACAACACCTGAATTTGTATCTCAATGAGTTTTCCAGTTGAAGGTTGCAGGGGCAGAGTGATGACATCCAGCAGGGAAACTCAAAGCGCCAGGGAGCCTGCACTCTGCACAGAGGCCAAGCACTTTACACCCTGGGGGACCTGGTCCTCCTGCAAAGCACCTGCCCGCAGCCTTTGGGTGGGGAAGCATGGTCCAGTGAATGAATAGCGCAAGGCAAAGAGCATCAGGAAGACGACAGCTCCTACACCTTGGCATGGCTGCCCGAAGCCCCCATCATAGCTGCACGCCACTGACCTGGGGAGACGACATACGGCACACCTTTCAGGCGCCCAGACACAGACATCCCTGCCACGTGCAAATCCTGGCTAACAGACGCCCACGAGAACCAGACTCAGGCCCCAAATAAACACCACGCAAAGCCCACGTTTATCGGGCACGTACTAGAGACCAAGCACAGTGTCAGGCGCTTTTCGTGACCATCTCACTTAGTCTTTGAGATAAGAATGACTATCCCCACTTCACAGATGAGGAAACCAAGGCTCAGAGAAGCATGATTTGTTCAAGGATTGACGCCGCGGGGATGGTGACATGAGTATGTTTGATGCCACAACTCACGCTCATAATTACCATGTCCTACTGCCCCCTCCAAATCCCAGTAGCAAGGGACCGGCACCAAGGGAGGAGAGATATGGTGTGGAAATTCAAAGGGATTCACTTGGAACATAAGCTGCTCCAAGAAAAAAAAAGGGGATTCATGACCAACTGGGCAATCTGGGAAGGCCTCACGGAGGAGGAGCCAGGAGTTGAAGGATGGGTGGTATGTGACAAGTAGAGCCTGGGAAAAGGATGTTCCAGGAGGGAAGCTGTATAGAGCTGGGAAAGCACGGGGTAGGTTCTGGGTACCCAAAGCGATGCTCTCAAGTTCATGTATTGGTGAGGTGGGGAAGTCGGGGAGAGAGAGGATGAGGAAAGTGGGCCACCGCCACTGCGGAGAGTGGGGTGGGTTCAGCCTGGGTGAGCCCTGGGTCTGACCCGCCTGAGAAAGGCCAGGACATCCCCAAAGCCTGGGGCATCCAGCACCCAGGTGCCCAGGTCCTTTGCTGGAGGACAGGACACCTGAGGCCCCACCCTTCTCTGGACCTGTGAAGCCACAGCTGTCATTCCCTGACCCTTCCACCCAGACACCTGGACACAGGTAGAAGGGGCACAGGAAGAGGGGAGCCAATTCATTACAGACAGAACGTGTGCATCCCCAGCCATGGGGCAACTTGGACCCAGTTTGAAAACCCAACTGGACCCTTCTGAAACTTTTTTCCTTTTCTAACCAGCTTTAGTGCATGTAGGAAGAATCCTGGTTCCAAACTAAAGAGATGACATTTTTCCTTGCTAATATGAGCTGCAGTGGAGGAAAGACTTCATTGCATATATACTGAGATTCTGGGTAAGATCAAGTTTTTTTTTGTTGTTTAAAGCCTTTTCTACTAAAACTATTTTTAAAAAATGATTTTTTAATCACCCAGATTGTCCAACCCTCTCACTGAGTGAGGAGCCAGAGGCCCAGAGAAGGCCTGGGAGTTGCCTTCGGCCACACAGTAGTGAGTAGCAGAGCCCAGAGCCAGGGAGCCAGGGTTCCTTGTGGATTCCAACCCCAGTGCTCCTTCCATATGGCAATGCCAGCTTGGTTTGGAACTGCTGGGCCTGAGGAGGGGAGGAGAGTGGGCCCAGGGCTCAGGGTTCAGTTTGGCTCAGCTTGAGGGCTTCTAGAAGCTTCGGCTAGAAAGACTGTTCACCCATACCTTGTACCACACCCCATGGAACCTGGCTCAGCCATTCCTCCTGTGAGGGAAGCCTGGAACGAGCACTGGATGAGGAGTCAGAAGTCCAGGGATTCAGCCCAACTGGGCCACTTCTTAGCACAGCAGCACCAGACTGCTCAGGTCACCCCTCTGGCTTCCTTGGCTATAGAAAACAAAAGAGCAGACAGAAACCCTCCAAAACCAAGTAGACATGTGGAGGTACATGGCCCCTGTAATCATGTGCAGAGTGAATTCAAAACCAGCTCTAGAATCAGAGTGCCTCGGATTGAATCCCACTTGTGTGCTGTGTGAATTTGGGCAAGTAACTCAATGTCTCTGTGCCTCAGTTTCCTCATCTGTAAAGTAGGGATAACAATAACATAACCTATCCCCATAAACTAGTGATGAGAATATTAAGCAAGACGATGCTGTATGTGCTGAGAGTTTAGGACAGTGCCTGATACATAGTAAGTGCTTTGCATAACTGTCACTTGCTGTTCTTACTGCTCCAGCACATGACACATGCTTGGAAGACACAGATGTCTGTGTGCCCAAGAGCCTAGCCCAGTGCCTGGCAAGGGTGGGGTGGAGAGGGGAATTGCTCAGTGGAAATAATATTTATAAAGCAGGTGCATGCATCACACTGGAGCCCCCTTCCCCACAAACCCTCCCTTCCCCACCCCCAAGCAGCTTCTCCAGGGGTCAAGGCTGTGAATGAATCTTTGAATGATACATATTCCTATGTTTGGTGTCTAGTAATAACGAGCTTGTACGCCAGGTGAGTCACCCAGACCTGGTTCCGGGTCTGTGCCATATATATATATCTCCCTACAATTCAAGAGCCACGGAGTCAACGATCCTGGAAATTCATTCATTCAACAAACATTAATTGGGTGCGTGGCAACCTACTGATTCATGAGTTGGAAGGGTGTAAAATATTATTTAGGAGCTACACAGGGTCAGGCGAGTAACTTAATGTTATTAGACACGTGTTCCTTAAGTGTTTGTCCTCTGATCCTGAGAACACTATACTCATGTGACCTTGTTTATGAATTAAGGAGGGCCAGCTAATCTTTCAGAAGAATTCAATTTGCAGTTTTGCTCAAAAGCCCTTCAGCCTTCACAGATGAGGACCTGTCTTTCTGGGTTGCGCTAACTCCTTTGCTAGTTAAAAGCTTTCTGTGTCTTTAAAAGGGGGCGGCATCCTGTCAAAAGGCCCTTAAAGCATAGGCTGGAGGCGCATGAAGTCTCACCCACTTTCTGTGACGTCCTGTGTTCCGGCTTCTGATTGCTCGCCTCCGACGTCAATCACGAGGCGTGTGTCTTGCTGGGACACAGTGGAGGGCTAAGCTTTGGTTTGCGGAGCGGTCGGGTGTATTCGCCGCACGCCCCCACTTCTTCTAGGTCCCCGCCACCCGACCCAACGGCGGAGCCGGCCAGCGCTTCCCGTGGCACCCTCCCGCACCGGATCGCTCCTCGCTGGGGCGGGACCTGTCCCGGCGGCTCCGGTCACTATGGTCAGTCGTCGCGGGGGAACGCCAAGTGGGAGCGGGAAGGGGGCGCGGGGGGCGGGGTCGTGACCCGGCGCATGTGCACTCGCCGGACCGGGTTCGGCGCGAGGCTCAGACCCGGCGCTGTCCCCGCGGCGTTCGGACCGGGATCCTGAGTCGGGACGGATGCTGGGGACCGGGTCGCGCCCTCCTGTCCCCGGGGGACACCCAGCCGGGGAGGTTCAGCTCCGCCCGAGGCCCCCCTCCCTGCGCGTCCGCCCCGGGTGGCCCCGGGGTGCTGCCTGGACGGCGCAAGGTAGGCGTGCTCGACGGGAGCGGGAGCGAGGACGGAGACTCCGGACTGTGGGTCGCCTCCTCTTTGTTAGGTAGCCCCCCAGTCGACAGCTCACGGCCCCACCCACCGACGGTTTGACCGTCAAAGGCCACCCCCTCCTGTCCCCCACCCCAGCCCCATCAGCGAAGTTAGGGGTTGCACAGGTGGCCAGTTCGCTGTCCCCGTGGGCGGCGGGACATTTACTCTGTCTTTGGAGTTAGGACGCACGTGGACAGGCTGTGGCAAGTTTTGAGGTGCATGAGTTAGGGGTCCAGGGAAAGCAAAGATGAGAGGAACCCCTGATCTGGAGTCCTGTCTGCGCAGAAAGGGCCCCAGAGACCTTCTGAGCCAGACCTAACCCTGGGCTTGGGCAGGTGGAGAAACTGAGGCCAAACAGGGAAGGGACTGCTACTGACTGTGGTGGACCTGAGACTTGGACCCAAGCCTCTGGACTCCCAGTTCAGTGCTCTTTGTGTTACATCAGCCCACCTTCCAGGGGTCAGGCTGGGGTCAGGCTTCCTGCAGGGAACTGGGTGGGACGGTTGCCTAAAACCCTTCATCCCCGAGCAGGGGGCTCCAGGGAGTCTGTGGAGTGTGTGGGCAGGTGGCCTGGCTCCGGGCCACACAGCGCTGGGTTCAAGTCTTGCCTTCACTCCTTGGAAAGCCAAGAGGCTTTGGTTGGTCTGTTCCCCTCCTCAGCACACGTGTATAAGGCACTGCAGTGAGGACATGTGAGGTGATTAGCCACGGCTTTTCCTGTGATCACAGAGTCTTTGAAATGGGTGTGCACGGGTGCCTGGTTCTTCCTGCTTGGCTTCCTCCCTCCTATGTCTGGGCAGGAAAATGGGTCACCACTGCAGATGCTAGGGTATGGGGTCAGAGCCTGGTCATGGGCTGGCATGTTCTGGGTGTGGCATGGGCAGCCAGGGCGCCTGAGCCAGCACTGTCCCGACCAAGCCAGCCTGCTCCTGGGGTGTGGCCGGGCGCCTCTGCGGCATCTGGAAGCACCAGCTTCCTGCGTCTACCTGGTGCCCAAGGGTTACCTGGTCCGGCTGCTCCTGGAAGGTGGCCCAGGTGTTCCTGCATCGCCCAGGGAGTGCAGGAGCTGGGGGAATGTTGGGAACACTGGGTTTAGCCACCTGGGAGCCAGAGGCTGGCATGCCCTCTGGCTGCCACTGGGTAGCTGAAGGCACAGCCGGGGCAGTAGGGGCTGGGACCTCAACTTCTGCCCTTTGTGCTGCGCAGTGGTGAGACTGCTGACTCCACCCTCCCGTCCGCCCTCCCGGGAGACTGGCAGTCAGGGCAGATGGGGAACAGCGCACCGAGCGCTCACCCCTCAGAGGGGCCTGGGGGCCTCGGAGGTGGATGAAGTAGTTAACCCACTAAATAGGACGTCTGCTCGGGAAACATGTGGGTGGAGCCTATGCAGGGTCTGTTCTTTTCCCTTTACATGGCATTTATTGAGCACCAACTGTGTGCCGGGGACCATGCTGGGCCCTGTGCTGTGTGGTAATTCCATGCTGTCTGAGAACACATGGTGTGCATGGTGGCTGGCGTGTGTGTGTGTGTGTGTGTGTGTGTGTGTGTGTGTGTGGTGGACAGAGACATTGCCCTTGGAAAATACAGCATCTCCTTTGCTTTCCTGTTTCTAAGTCACTGGGCTAAGCTGAGGAAGGGGACCCCAGGTGGAAGACATGAAGCCCCTTGCCAGGGTAGGGGCTGGGACAAGGACCAGGCCTGGGGCTGGCAGGGGCTGCGGATGGTGAGGAGTCTCGTGAGCCCTCAAAGTGTTTGAGCATTTGGTGAAAGAATGAGTGGGAGTCAGACATAAACACTAAAACCACAGGGTCCGATCGTGCTTTGTTCTGTCACCTGTGAAACAGGTCCCGGTGAGCGCCCCTCTGGGGCCTGTGCAGGGCGCTGTGTCAGTGATGAGAACGACAAGGCGTCTGTCCTCTCCGGGACTCGGGGCCTGTTGGCCAAGACAGAGCTGGACACAAGCAGTCCCTGCGCTACTGGCAGTGGCTTAAGAAGCTGACCAAGGGCGTTGGGGGCACAGCAGGAAGTTAGTGGCTCTGAGGGGGTGAGAGTACTGGGCAAGGGCTCACAGAGGAGGTCTTTCAACTGGGTGTTGAAGGATGCATAGGAGAGTTCAGGAAGGATCTGAGGAAGAGGACATTCCAGGCAGGGGGGCCAGGGGGCTTAAAGGCCTGGAAACACGGTCGGGAGTGGGGTATTGCGGCCGAGGCGAGCAGCCCTGAGAGGCAGGGCGCTTGCGGGAGGCAGGGCAGATGAGTCTGGAGAATCAGGTGGGGTCAGGACGCTCTGTGCAGGGCTTCGCTTTCTGTGTGGTGGAGTTTGGGTTCTGCAGATGGCAGGGAGGGAACGGTGACAGGCTTTTGAGACGTAAGAGATGGTTAACTTGGACGATCTCTCTGGCAGTGAAGCGGGCACGGGTGGAGGCGGCCGGGCCGGAGCCCGACACCGGCTAGTCCCTGGTTCCCTCGTTCGCTCAGCGTGTCAGTCTGCGGGGCTGCTCCGCAGAGCACCACGGGCTGGGCGGTTCAGGGCAACAGAGCCTCACTCTCTCACAGGCTAGAGGTCCAAGACCAAGGTGTCAGCGCGGCCACGCTCCCTCTGCAGGTGCCAGGGGAGGGGCTGTCCCAGGCCTCCCTCCGGGCTTTTGGTAGTTCCTTGGCGTGTGGCAGCAGAACTCTGGTCTTCTCGCGGCCTTTTCCCTGCATGCGTGTCTGTGTCCTCCTTTCCTCCTTCTGCAAGGACGCCGGTCAGGCTGGATCAGGCCCACCCTACTCCAGTACGACCTCGTCTTCGCTAACTACGTCCGCAACTGTCCTGTTGCCAAATGAGGTCACATTCTGAGGTACTGGGGGTTAGGAATTCCACATATGAGTTTTGGAGCGCCACAATTTAACCCGCAGCACTCAGTGTACATTTTTGGAGCATTGCTGTGTGCCAGGCCCCGGGGAGCCAGCAGTGACACAGGCAAAGTCCCTGCCCTCACGGAATTGACACTCTCCTGGAAGGAGACAGTCAGTATGCAAATAGACAGGGGAATCTACTGTCAGATCATGCCCCAGAGAGGTAAAATAAAGTGGGGGGAGGAGCGACTTCAGACAGCCTGGTCGGGAAGGTCTCTCTGAGGTGACATCCCCTGCATCGTGGGAAGGGGCAGATGAGCGTTCCAGGCAGGAGGAACAGCATGTGCCAAGGCCCTGAGGTGGACATGGGTGTGTGTGTTCTTGAGGAGCAGAAGGGCCGCTGTGCGGGAGAGCCAGGTGAGCCAGGGCCAAGTGGGTCGGGCTGGGAGGTGGAAAGGTGGAGTCTTTGCCGCCAGGGAAGCCTGTGGAGCCGGCAGGCCAGCTGTGCCCTGTCTGGTAAATGCTTGTTTTGCTGCTTGTGCTACAGGACGGGAGTCCGAGGCCAGTCAGGCAGACGACAGTGCCCAGCCTGCGGGCGAGAGGGGAGTGGAGGAGCACTCCTGGGCCACGCCTGAGCTCTGGCTGGGCGGCAGCGTTCTGGGGGGCGTGGTGGAGCAAGAGAGCAGTTAGGGACAGGCCACCTTATGCTGTGCTCAGACACCCGAGTGGCTGCTGGCTGTTTGAGGCCGGAGCTCTGCCTAGGGACAGTTGGTGCAGACGTGAGGATCTGAGCAAGGTCCGTTGGGAGGATGCTGTGCGTGCAGGCGTCACCTGAGGAGAGCGGATGAGATTAAACCAAGACCCCGAGTTATCCAGGTGGGCGCAGTGATGGAGTTATCAGGATCCTCATGAGAAGGGGCAGGGTTGGAATCGGCGGTAGAGACAGTGGAAGCAGAGCCGGGGACCCGGGCAGCCTCTGGAAACGGAAGAAGGCAGAACACAGGTTCTCCTGGAGCCTCCAGGAAGCACGGTCTCCTGGCGGGGCGGGGGACCTGCAGAGCCTTACGCGGAGTTGGGCACGCGGCTGTAGGCTGCTTGAAGAATTCTTGGGTTATGTGGGCAGGTTTTGGAGATGTAGAGAGGCTTGGGAGAGAAAAGCAGGGACTCCCGCTTTCTCTAAATTTGGAGGCTGGGCGCGGTGTGAGGGTCAGGGCTGGGTCTCTGGCGCACATCTCCGGCATCGTAGTAGGTGCTTTACGTGCGGCTCTGAGTCGCAGCCCAAGCCCGCGCTCCAAGGCCAGCAGGCAGATACAGTGCGGGCTCCCACCAAGGACTCAAACCCCGTCTGAACACCCAGCCCACGCTCTAGTTCCCAGGGTTGCTGAGGAAAAGCCAGAGATTAAGGAAACATCGTTTTCTCACTTTGAAATATATTCCCAGCTTCAATCTGCTAAAAACTGTCTCCAAGCTGAGGTGCTATCTGCCTGACTTAATTAGCATCTATTCGCAAACCAGCAATTAAAGGGCTAAAATCCTTTCAGGTGGCCTGATTAGGCCTGACAGGACATTGTCAGGCCGTGGCCTGCCTGTCCTTTCTCCGTAATATCCTGGAAATGTCCAGCTATATTTTAAAAATAAGCATCAGTTACAGTCAGCTGAGGTCAAACACAAAGCATCATACCTGATTCGTGGGCTGGAAAATCGAGGATGTACCTGGCGTTTTCTCTAGACTTGAGTCTCTAGCCTTGCCCGGGGCTGTGACCAGGGCCGAGCTGGTGGAAAGGGGCGGGGACCACCTTGAGCTGATTTGGGTCATTCTGGAGGTGCCACACAGGGACTTGAAGGGCCCAGGTGGAAACCCACTTGTCCCCCAGGTGTGCCATAAACACACCAGGGACCACTAGGGGGCGCTGGAGCTAACCCACTGACCCAAGGCTCCATCACCTGCAGATGGGGCCACCCATGCCATGTGACAGCAGGGGTGGATCTGAAATAATATTGAGCAGAGGAAGAAAACCCCACAATATCCTTAGAATAATATGCAAACTTAAAATGCAGGCATGCATACAACTCTGTGTTTTTTAAAAGACAGATACATTTCATTTGTAGGAGGCACTTAGAATAGTCAAATTCATTAGAGACAGAAAAGTATAAAGGTGGTTGCCAGAGACTGGGGGAGGGGGAAGGGGAGCTAGTGTTTAATGGAGACGGAGTTTCAGTTTGGGAAGATGAAAATGTTCTGGAGATGGATGGCTGTGACGGTATCACAACAAGGGGAATGTGCTTCATGCCACCGGACTGTATACTTACAGATGGTTAAAATAGTAAATTCCATGGTACATACATTTTAGCAGCATCATCGTCATAACAGACAGACACATATGGAAAGACATGCCGTGAAGACCACCTACTGAGGGTTGGGGGTATGGAGGGATCTGAGCAAGGATCAGGGATGAAGGGAAAACGTGAAAAAGTGCCTTGCTGGGGCCTGGTGCCAACAGTGTGTCCCTGAGAGCAAGAGTATGGTGGGCTCAGCTTGCAGCAGCAGGGAGGGCCCTGAATTGCCATTTAATATTTTTTTTATTTAAAACCAAAAGCTTCCCTAGAAGTCCTGCAAGTTTTTCCTGGGTCCAGTCGGCCAGCCCCAGTCACTTGGCCGCCCATAGCTGCAAGGGAGGCTAGGAAAATGACGGGGAACCTGGTGGGAGAGGCATGACTCACCTGGTCACTTTTCATCAAGTTGCAGGATTCTGCCAGTGAGGAAGAAATGGGCAACAGCTGATGGGACAGCAGCCCCCAGCACCTGCCCCAGGGTGGTTGTCTGATGCCCCCTGATTGTTTCCGTTTGCCCTGCCACCATGGTGTCAGGCCAGAGGGAGGAAGGAACCTGGGCTGACTTAATTTTGCAAAGAAGGGTGGGTACAGGATGGAACCTTCCAGAAACAAAACCCAGAATCCCTTCTTCCCACCCCTAAGAGTTTGTACACTGTTTCTTCCTTTGGAAACATTCTTCTTCCTGTTCTCTAGGACAACTTCATCTTCCATCATACCTTTAAGTTTTCCTCTGGGAAGTTGCCCTTGACCCCCCAAGTCCTGGGGAGGGCATGTGTGGGAGAAGGAAGAAAAGGAATGAAGTGTGGGTGCAAGGGAGAGCCCGAGCCTAACTCGGATGGGGCGGGGAGACCAGGGAAGCCACCTAGAGGAGGTGGCTCATATTCATTCATTTAGCAAACGTCTCAGTCCCTGCTCTGTGCCTGGCCTCGTGATGGGCCCTGGGGAGTCAGGCAGACAGTGTGATTGATGAGCTGTCCCGAGGCAGGAGAGGCTGTGTGGCTTGGAGACTTTGATAGGTGGGGACATCCAGGTCCCCTAGAGACGGCCCTTCCCAGTCCCAGCACCTCTCCGCAGTCCTGATACTGGACATGGGAATTGGGCCCATGTGAGTTTGGAGTCTGTCCACTGTGGGGACAGGAGCAAACCTAGACGTCGTTTAGGCCTCAGAATCTCATGGCCTAGTTCTCTGCTTCTGCTCAACTTTGGGGAAAGCTAACCATTAAAAATCCAGATGTATTTCTTCAGGTGGAGGAAGGGGTTTAAAACACCAAAAGGCTCCTTCCTGAGCAGGTGGCACGGGGTTGAGGTCATTCTCTAGTCAGTGATGAGGCTGAGACCACTGGGAAAGACTGCTGTGGTCAAAGAGGCAAGCTCCAGTGACAACTAAGTGTAAAAATTGACAGCAATAAATGGATGGAAAACTAGATTTCCATTTACAAAAATCACAACTAAGGTCAACCTTTCAGCTGTGCACTATTGCATAAAAATGGTCTCCCTGGTGAGTATATGGGAACCAGGGTCACTTATTTCAAACTGTCAACTGCAAGTGGCTTTAATGTCACTTTCTCTTACACTTTTGTCATGCAGAGATCAAAGGCGATTTGCAGGCAGGGGTGCATCTTGCTGTCTGAGCCCCACTGATGAGATAGCCCAAGGCGAGCAGTTGGCTGCTCCAACAGACCTGTCTTCCCCTGCAGCTTCCTCCTGCCATTGCCTCCTCCCTGCCCACCTTCCTCTCACCTTGGAGAGACCCTTTCCCTAGGAGGCTTGTCTTTCTGGGTTGGAATTGACTCAGAGCTGGGCTGTAGTGTGAACTTTTGCCGGTAGGTGGTGCGTGAAGATGCCCTCCCCACGCTGTGCTCCATGAACTCAGCTCTCTGAAACCTTCCCTGGCACCCCCAGGCCTCCCTCATGTACCAGTTCTTCTGGGGACCTTATCACCCTGTAGCATTATCGTTTTCCCTCTAGACTGTGAACCTTGGGTGGGGAGGGTGGTGCTAGATGTTCTTCCCTCTGTATTTCCGGCATGTGACACAGTGCATGGCATAGCTTATGTTCAGGAATTGTTCGATGAATAAAAGAATGAATGAATGAATGAATGAATGAATGAATGAATGAATGAATGAATGAGACAAGAAGGACAAAAGGAGACAAAGGCACTTATCCTTGGCATGAGGGTTCATTAGGTTCAAGGTATTATGGGCTAGGTGTGGTGGCTCATGCCTGTAATCCTAGAATTTTGAGAGGCCGAGGCAGGACATTGTTAATAGAATGTGACATTCTATCAATTCTTCGGGATTATCCTGAAAACAGGATTTACCAGAGGAAAATCCAAGCTAAGGCAGAAGGATTAATTGAGGTCTGGAGTTGGAGACCAGCCGGAACAACAGAGTGAGACCCCATCTCTAAAAAAATTTTTTTTAAAATTAACTTGGCGTGGTGGTGTGTTCCTGTAGTCCCAGCTACTTGGGAGGCTGGGGCAGGAGGATCGCTTGAGCCCAGGAATTTAAGGTTGCAGTGAGCTATGATGAAACCACTGCACTCTAGCAGGGATGACAGAGCAAGACTTTGTCTCAAAAAAAAAGTATACAACGAATCAGTTTGCAGGTTTCAAGATGAATGTCCATATAACCAGGGATACCATTCCTCATGGTGGTGCTCACCCTGCCCGTCCCTGTCCTGGGAGTGTGACAATCCAGGCAGGCATCTAGGATGCTGGTAACATACTCACATGTAGCTTTTGTGGGAAGGTATTAAGTAACTAGCAGTTCAGAGGCCACCAAACTTGGTGAATTCTGCCAGTTCTTTTTGAAATTGTCACAGCATTTCTTCTTTATCTTTCAGAGTGAAACATCTTTCAACCTAATATCAGAAAAATGTGACATTCTATCAATTCTTCGGGATCATCCTGAAAATAGGATTTACCAGAGGAAAATCCAGGTGGGGCAGAGGGTCGGAAGAGAGGACCCTAAATTAGATGGGCTGGAATTGGGAACAAAGAAGGAGGTACCACTTTGAAGGCCTGGGCCAGGTTCTTGGGCAAATGAAAGCACTCCAGAATACTTCGATGTCAGGCATTTGCCTTAGCAAGAAATCCTTCAGTTGCAAAAAAAAAAAATTTTTTTTTTAAAGCTACACACTGTGCCAAATGCTTTATTTACTCACTGAGACTCTGATGGTCCAGCTTGGGCCAAGTGCCCGGCAGCAGCTAAGGGTGGTGGTGTTGGCATCATGTGATCTGAACGCAGCCACAGGGACACATCCTGGGGCAGGAGCTAGGGCCGAGCAGCAAGCTGACACTCTTGTCCCCTGGAACCCTCTCGGGTGGTGAGACCAGGGGTCTAAGGAGCAACTCCTCCCCTGCCAGCCTGCCTCAGGTGGGCCCGGTCAGCTCTGAGCCTTCTCATCGCCAGTGGTGGGGAGCAGGGGCTTCCCAACCTCTTGAAAACCATTCTCTGCTGCCAAAACCCTGCCTGTAGCCCCACGAGGCAGGAAAGGGGATGCCAGGCCAGTTGAGAGGGACGCTGACAGCTGGGAGCAGAGCTGGAGCAGCGGGTGGCACAGGAATGTTGGGAGGACTGTCCAGACCGAGGCCCTCCAGGGCGCCAGGAGGCCCTTTCCCCAGACTCTGCAGCCTCCTCTCCAGCCCCACCACCCCCCTTCTGCTGCCGGCTCCTGCTTCTCTCAGCGTCATTCCTCCAGGAAGTCTTCCTTGACTTCCAAAGTCCCGTGTCAATGTCACTGCCCCATGACACCCAGCCGGGTACTTCTCTGTTCTCACACCACCACTGTGTAATCGTCTGTGTTTTCTCCTGGACTGTGGGCTGCCTGGGGCCGGGGACCGACACTGGATGCATGGGCCGCATTTCTGTATTCACGGAATGAATGGTGTTGGGAGACAGGGGGCAGCCAGCCTGAGGGGAGGGAGCAGGTGTTATGTGGGAGAGGTGGGGCTGGGGCCCAGCCAGGTCCAGTGCCCAATGCCATGCAGAGCCCTTGTCCTGCAGATGTCCACATTTCCTTCTCTCCCCCACCCACACAGGAACTCAGCAAAAGGTTCACCGCGATCCGCAAGACCAAAGGGGACGGAAACTGCTTCTACCGGGCCTTGGGCTATTCCTACCTGGAGTCTCTGCTGGGAAAGAGCAGAGAGATCCTCAAGTGAGTGGATCAGGAGGGACTTGCAGGTCGCCTCCCTGGGTTCTTGAGGTGTGTTCTCTGTGCCAGGTCAGCCCTGAATCTCCAAGAGGGTTTTTCCTCCGCTCAGGCTGGGAGGGAGCTGGAAGGCTGCCTGGCAGAGGCGTTTGATGTTGGGGAAGCCCAGCTGCCCACTAGGGTAGAGTTGGGGTGGCCAAGAGGCTGGGGATGGAATTGGTAACCTTCTAGTGCCTTCTAACCCCGTTTCATCCACAAGTCTGGGTCAGCCCAGGTGAGTTGCATTCGTTGGGGAGGTACTTAATGATTCACTGCAAAAAGAAAAGGAAACAGACAAAAGCAGCAGCTTTGCCCTGTCATTCTGAGCAATTCCTGCTGCCCTTGTAGTGTGTGTGACCCAGGTGTCTGCCTGGCCGGGCCTGGATCTGCGCTTGGTGCGGGAGCAGGTCTCTGCGCAGAGCTGCCCTGTGCCATTCCTCCGTCAGACCTTCGCGTGCTGGTTAGTTCAGGGCTTCTCATACCTGAACGTTTGTACACAGCTCCTGAGATCGGTTAGGGGCAGGTTCCCGGTCAGTAGGTCTGGGATGGGGCCCAGATCCTGCATGTCCCTCGAGCTCCCAGGTCCGACCTCAGACCACACTTCAAGGAGCAAGGAGCCAAGAGACCTCCTGGCTCTCAACCTTTGGTGGTCTCACCGCGCTTGGAGGATTTGGTGAAGAAGTCCACGGGCTCTCCTCATTGGAGACATGCACCCCCACCGCCCCCAGAAACAGTGCAGTGGGGCTGCGGTCACAGCTCCCGAGCTCGGTCCGTGGACCCCTTTAGCTAAGCGGGTTTCTCAACAGCAGCACTACTGACGTTTGGGGTGGGGCCAGTCTCGTTGTGGGGGGCTGTCCTGCAGCGTCCCTGGCCTCCACCCACGAGATGCCAGTAGTAACCTCTCCCCAAATCATGGCAGCCAAAATCATCTCCAGACATTGCCAGGTATCTCCTTGGGAGGAAAAAGTGAACCCGCCAGGTTAAGAACTACTAGGTTAAGGTCACCGTCTCCTGTTCAAAATACAGGTGATCTCAAAGGAGGCAGATGTTAAGCCATCTGTTCCTTATTTTGAATGAACCGTTCAGATCGTTTCCCAAGTGAGAGACCGGCCGAGCCCCTTTAAAAGGAGGGTGGGCTTTCTCATGCCCTCCTATTTCTCACAGCCCTGTGGGGGTCGAGACAGCACAGTGCAGGGGTTGTGACCCCAACTTCGTCTTCCCCACAACCCATGTCCTCTGGAGTTGTGCCATGTAGCCACCCTGGCCTCTGAGGTCAGACCTCACTCTCTTGCTTACTTTCTGTGTGACCTCGGGCAAGTGACCCAGCCTCTCTGAGCCTCAGTTTTCACATCCTTGGAAGGTGGATAATATTGCACACTAAGGGTGCTGTCGTGAGGACTCGGCGAGCTGTTGCCGGCCAAGCCCAGCTCCCGCGTCTCTCTCTGCACCAGCCCCTGTGCTCTGGTCACCTTCCCCCGCCCTCCCTCACCCCACCAGTCAGTGCCACAGGGGGTGCCACTGTGAACGGGAACGAGAGGGACAGAAATCCCTGCCTCATGGGGCTTGCATCCTAACGGGAGAAGATGACGGGACATAAGTACCTGCGTCTGGTGTCAGGTGGTGATGAGTGGTGTGGGAAATGTCGGGCGGGGAAGGGGCCAGGGAGCCCGGGCTGGGGGCTGCAGTGTAAGCAGGGGTTGGAGAGGTCAGAGGGCTGGGTCAGGGCCTCATGGGCCCCTCTAAGGACCTTTCAGCCTGAATGACCTGGGAGCCACTGGGAGATGGAGCAGGGGAGGGGACCTGCCCTGCTGGCTGCTGTGTGCAGGGCAGACCAGGGCAGGGACACAGGGAGGCATGGTTGGGAGTGACCCAGAGGAGAGATGGCCATGGTGGGAGCAGGTGGACAAGATGGGCGTGGCGAGAAGCAGTCAGATAGATTCTAGACACTGTGGGGTTGGTGTAGACAGGATTCATATGGGACCTGGACATGGCGCGTGAGCAGAGATGGGGATCAAGGGTGACTCCCAAGTGTTTGGCCTGGAAGTTGGCAGGATGGTCAAGCCCGGGCAGGGCTGTGGTGGTCAGTCCTGTCCAACACCTCCCACTCAGGAGGCCGCCTCATCATCACCCCCGGGCTGCCCAGGAGGGTGTGTCCTGACCATCCAGCCCCTGCCCTGAGCTGCAGGGGAAACCCAGCAGGCGCCAGTGGAGTGGCAGTAGCAGGCCCAGCAGTGGAAAGCACTGGACACCCAGTACCTCCTGCCTATCCTCAGCCCCGCTGCAATGGAGGTGACATCATCACCCACAGGGGAGCCCACCAAAGCCACAGGGGGCTTACGGGGCCGGAGGGGGATGCAGCCAGAAGCCAGCGCAGTGCTCATTCCCTCCACTGCAGGCAGCTCACCCCACACTCGTCATGGTCTTATCAGGCTCTTAGATGCGGCCCAGGACTAGCCAGGGGCAAGTGTTTAGGCAAAAATAGCCCTCTTTCTGATTTAGGAGATCGGCTTCTCAACTACCCCATCCTCCTTCCCCTCCTCCCGCCCACCACAAGGCACCTGATGTGCGCAGAGCACAGCAGCTTATGAAGCTACCCAGGCCTTTGTACTCCTTTGTGAAACCTCCCGCCTCCTGGGGTCCCCCTTCCCAGGGGACAGGTGCTGGGCAGGAGAGCTAAGCATGGCTGCAGTGTTCCGTGCCCGCTGGCTGGTCCCCCAAAGCCACTCACTTGGTCCTTGTGCAGAAGGCAGCTATTCTTCCATATCTCATCTCTGCTGCTAAAATGTGTGTGTCCCAGGAAGGGGCCATGCCATTAGGGGGCCTTGCCATGGGTGCAAAGGGGCGATCCAGAGTTCCCAGAGCCACAGCCTTTGGGCCAGGTCTTCAGGGGTGACTCAGTGCTGGCAAATGTTTAACAGCTTGCTGGTGGGGAGGCCGGGAGGCCAGATTTGAGTTGTCAGCTGCTTGCTGATAGCTGTCAGTACTCCTGTCATGATCGATTCCAAGCTGTCATTACGAGGTCACCGAGTAGGGTGTTGGGAAGAAATGCAAAATAACACACACTACAGTCCATGTCATTTTTCCACTGTATGTGCACAATAGACCTAACCCCATAACCTCAAGAGCATAGATAATTAGTAAATGATGCATTTTGAATAATTATTAACTTTGTTTTTTAGTATAGTTTATTTCATTGTAAGTTTACATCATTTGAGTTTTAATAATGGCTATGTTAACACCTGGCTGGAAGAATTCTTGAAAATGTAACAATTAACTCCCTCTTATGAGCAGATAGATACAAAATGGCTCTTACACAGCCCTGAGGAGAGAGTCCCTGGCAGAGAGGCTGGCAGCGCTGATGGGGTAGAAATGTGTGTGGTGACAGCTATGGTGGGACAGGGGGTTCTGAGGACTCACTGGAGGGACGGTGGGGTGCAGGGATTCAAGTGGAATGCACAGTTGGTGTCACAGCACACCCCTATGTTTCCTTGTAAGTGCCAAATCTCCTTTTTAGGTTCAAAGAGCGTGTACTGCAGACCCCAAACGACCTTCTAGCTGCTGGCTTTGAGGAGCACAAGTTCCGAAACTTCTTTAATGCTGTGAGTTCACTTGAGCCATGCTGGCTGAGGAACCAGATCCCTCCTTCCACTCTGGCAGAGCGGACACCGGCAGGAGTCCCCACGTAGCCCACAGCTCTGTTCCTCCTGGGGAGGGACATAGGGCTGTGGCCTGCTTGTAGGGAGCCCAGGGCTCTGCCCTTCCCTGAGAGGAGGCCTGTCCTTCACCCTACTCCCTCTCCACCCCACACCTCCCCGTCTGATTAGTTAAGGGGGTGGGTTCAAGGACTCTCAGACGCTGTCACTCTGAATGTGTACATGAGAACCCCAACCCAGGTGGTGATGGGGGAGACCCAACTGCTGTCCCCTAGACATGCCTCCGTACGTATGAATTACAAGGTCTTGCTAACCCCTGGGAACGAGGGAGGTGGGCGGGGAGCGAGGCAGGTCCTGCCAGGGCCTCCCCGGCTGATGGCCTGGTGGCGCAGTTCTACAGCGTGGTGGAGCTAGTGGAGAAGGACGGCTCGGTGTCCAGCCTGCTGAAGGTGTTCAATGACCAGAGCACCTCAGACCGAATCGTGCAGTTCTTGCGCCTGCTCACATCGGCCTTCATCAAGAACCGAGCAGACTTCTTCCGGCACTTCATTGACGAGGAGATGGACATCAAAGACTTCTGCATGCATGTAGGTGCTCGGGCCTCAGCCCTCGCCCGGGCTCTGCTCCTGCCGCCGTCTCCTGCAGACTGCCGCACCGTCCCTAGCCAGGGGATGTGGGTGTCACAGCTGCCCTACTGATTCAAACAGCGCTAGGTTAGCAAGTTGCAGGCAGGTCCCACCTGAGCTGCCTGTACCAAGTGGCTTGGGGCAGGCCACCTCCCCTCCCTGGGGATTCTCCATCCAAAACATAAGGGCTTTGGACTGGCCTGTTTGCAAAACTGCACAGCCCCAGAATCACATTTGCCCCAACACGTGTTTTTGTTTATAGTGCATGGTGTTTACCTAAAAGAGTTGCCAATATTAAATTGCACAATTTAAAAATTGTGCAATTTAATATGAATATCTGGATTTCTCTTGGAAAATCAGGAGATTTAGCTCCGGGCCCTTACTCTTGCATGGCAGCACAGCTAGCAGCAGCTGCCTGCTGTGTGTGGGACGTGCTCATCAGCCTGCCACCACCCCTGCCTCTCTCTGCTCCCGCCTCTGGAAGCACTTGCACTTGGAATCCCTGGGCAACCAGGTGCCTTTTAGCTCTGAGATTCTTTGATGGCCAACCTGAAAAATCCCTGCCCCCCTTTCCAGGTCGCTCAAAGGTAGTGGCCTCTTCTCAGGTCCAACAAGAGGGTCTAGAGATCCAGGCTCAGTTCTTGCAATTCTAGAAATTTCTAACGGTGCTACTTCCTCCCAGTGAGCCATTTTCCTTTGGGAAGTGAGGATGTTAGTGCCCACCTCATGGGTTGTTGTGACGATGATGTCCCAGCACCGAAGCTTTGCTGTGACCATGAGCCAGGGTTGAACTCACTTGACCTCTGTCAGGCCTTCCTCCTGAGCTGCCTTATTTTTTCATTTTGGCCTTTGCAGGAAGTGGAGCCCATGGCCATGGAGTGTGACCACATCCAGATTACAGCCCTGTCCCAGGCGCTGAACATCGCCCTGCAGGTGGAGTACGTGGACGAGATGGACACTGCCTTGAACCACCACGTGTTCCCCGAGGCCGCCACCCCTTCCGTTTACCTGCTCTATAAAACATCCCACTACAACATCCTCTACGCAGCCGATAAACACTGATTAATTTTAGGCCATGCAGTGGAATCTGTCACCTAATGGGACTGCATTCTGAATGGAACATTCCGGCTTTTCAATTTTTTAAGCGATCTAGACTGTAGCTAGAAAATGTACAGCCTTTTGTGCAAAGCCACTGGAAATGAGGCCCACCCATTCTGGACTGTGGTAACGGGGGTATTTTTGGTATTTATTCTGATGGAGGATCAAATGCTTTCTAATTCGTGGCCAGGAAGCTAGGGCCCCTGACTCTGCACCCCAGCTCCCTGTGAGATGCTGGGTGGGTCACCCACCCTGTTTGGACCTGTTTCTTCAACTGGAGGAGGTTCCTGCCAGTGTTGACATTCCATTGTATAAAAATGGGGTCCTCTGGCTTCTCTTTACTAGGGATAGTGCCTCTCTGCAGGGGAGGAAAACTCAAGGTCAGGTGTCTTAACTCAAGTGACTGACTTACTAGGCCTACAAAACAGAATCTAGTCCGGTTGGTTCTGAGACTGGGCTCTGGTGGATGGGCTGTTGAGGTCAACTTGAATGTGAGGGCTGCAGTGTGGTTCCAAACATTCATGATGGGTGTGTTTTCCTACCCTCAACCTAGAAAAAAGACTTTTTTGCCAAAGTCCAGAAAGGGGCCTTTAGCCTTCAGCATGAAGCTCAAGTTGTTGGGGCCCCCTCTACCTCTCTCAGGACCAGAACTGGCTGAGTTTTGGTGGGTAGGCCCTTCAGGTTCTGCTGTCAGCCCCACCTGAATAGAGGCTCAGGAAGGCTAGGGTCTGACCAGAATCTATGTATTTCTGTCTGTGACCAGGAAGCTGCAGCTGTCCCTTCATCCTCAGCATATCCTGGAAGTAGAGTCTAGATACTCAGCCGGGTAGAGATGTTGGCACACGCAGCCGTGGACCCCAGCTGAGCAGAGCAGATGCTTTGCAAGGCTGCCTGCCCTTGGCTTCTTTCTCCCATTCTGCTCTCTCTCTATGGGCTGGTGAGGGGATGGGTGGGAAAGAACAGAGAAAGCCATGGAAACTAACAGTGGGGAGATTTCCATTGTGGAAATTGCCTGAGAACTCTGGGCAGCAGCTCTCATTCAGCCCTCTGGACCTGCCTCCTTAAATAAGCTCCTTACCCTGCTACCTCAGGACCTCCAAGAGCCCATCCCTGGGCTGGCGGCGGGCAAGATGGCAGCAGTGGGGAGTCACATACTGGCTGGGCTGACTTGCTGCTAGCAACCTCTCCCTTTGCAAAAGGAAAGGGAAAATGCAGGGTGTAGACTTGCCCTTTGGGGTCCTTCCTTAATAGAAGGCTGTGTTCTCACAGGTTTCCTTCTGCAGGAATTTACTAGAATCTATTGGTGCTGCTATATCAGTCTGCTGACAACCCAACTGTGCACAGATGAGTAGCACACTCTTCAGAGTCCTATTGACACAAATGATGGATTTGTGTCACTCTTCTGCCTTTGTGAAAAGCCAGTAGCACTATTAGATGTCAGGGGCTTTAGTTCCAGGCAGGGCCCCTGGTTCCTATACTGCTTTTGGCTGGAATTTGGACCAAAGGGCTCCAGTTAAGTGATTATGTCACTTTTCCAGAGGAATGTAAACCTGACCCTCATCTCTGAATTTGTTCAGTGTCCCATCCTGGCCCAGGTAGGTGCTGGGGTCTTTGACAAGTACATTGGAAGAGTGGGGGTTTGTGAATAGCGTCCTCTTTGCCGGGCAAGTCTGCAGGGAATCCCTGTTGTGTGAACACACGTGGCTACTCTGAGGGGTTGTGATGTGGGTCCTGGGCCCTCCAGCCGGCTCCTCAAGCACAGCAGAAGCCAGCACTAGCTGCCACTTCTCTGCGTCTGTGGCTTGTGTGGTGGTCCCAGCAGTAGAGCTCTCTGGCACATTGGCTGGAGAAGTTCCCTGTGAGACTTGCCAGTGCCGAGCTTCCAGGCCAGAGATCCCACGGAAGCTCACAGGGGACCCTGTTCCCGGCAAAGAATCTATCACTTTGGATTCAGGATCCCCCCAAGCTCTGGCAGTGGCAGACCAAGTCATTTTCATGGGCTTATTTATCTGCTGCTTTCCCCTTTTTCCACAAAACCATTGGCCAAATTCAAAACATTGGCCCCACTCCCTCCACGTTTGCCCTCAGCTTTGTCTCCAAGGGAAAGCACTGTGGAAGAAGAGGAGTGGCAGGACTGGTACCTCGTTAAAATCCAGGCATCTGTGGACATTCCCTTGCTCGTCCACAGCAGCCAGTCATTCTGGCAGTCACACTTTCTGGATAATCTTCCACTCTCACCCTACAGAGCCATTTCTTTCTACACCAAAAGCTGGAAAGAAGGTTGCTTTGAGAGCTTGTCTTTATAACTACATGTTTACTACTTTCTTTCCAAAGGAAACTTTATAAATCAATAGGAATGTAGCAACAGGAAGAACACTGGCCCTGCTTTTGACTGGGTTCCTATTTTAAGCACAAACAAAGGGGTTCTGGAGCCAGACTGCCAGGGCTCAAACCTGTTTTGCTACTTACGAGCTGTGTGATCTTGGCCAAGTCACTTCACCTCTCTGAACCCCAATTCCCACAAGTATGAAGAGGAGACAACACCTACACATCACAGGACTATTGGCTAAAATAGAATGAGATGTGTGAAAACAGCTGGAATTTCTGACACCTTCAAGTACCGTACAGATGAGATGCTCCCGGGCCCACTCTTCCCAAAGGCTAGCAGAAGGGCACAGCAGGTGGGGAAGCGCACCACCTCAGCAGTGACTGGCTTCCCCAAACAATGGGAGCATCATGGGACCATTAGACAAGTCTAAGGGCCAAACACATTTGCCACCCTGAGCAGAAATGGGGGTGGGGCTGGCTGCTGGGGACTCCAGGCGTATGGGATGTGGACCAAGCCCTACAGCTTCCTGAGCAGTAGGTGAAAACATTTTCCTAGCATTAAAATGGTTTCCGTAACACCTTTTGTCCTTGCTGCTTAATACTGGGTACCTGGCATGCACCCAAGAGCAATACTACCCTCCCCTAGGGCTTACTATGTATGTGAGTGGATTAGCTTGGGAGAGTTTGCATGGCAGATCCAGGACACTGGATCTGGAAGCTCTGCCCATAAACCAGGTGACAATACTAGTACTGCCTGGAAGGCTGGCCCTATCTTTTAAAACCTGTCTACTTAGCTCCTCCACCAAAAAAAGAAAAGAATTTGCTGTTAAAGGGCTAGAGTAGGATATCAATATTGGGATCCAGGTTCGGCCTGTGACAAGTGGCCTCACTCCCATGGCACAGGTGCTGCTTAGGGACCTTGAGCCTGGTTATTAACCCTGCTGACCTCAACTGCATCACTTGAGAAATGGAGAGTCCCCTGCTGCCCTCTGACAGCTGTCAGTCAGAAGCTGACCTCACAGACTGGGGTGCTTTCTCCTGTCTGGGATACTGGGGACACTGGGGCAGGGGGCATGGGATCCTTTGGCAACACTGCTATCTTATAAGACCAAAGTAGTTTTCTGAACTTGCCCTGGTCCCAGAAGGAAAATACCCTGAGTTCTAACCCCAGCTCTGCCACTTGGCTGCTGTGTGACCTTGGATAAGTCTTAACCACTCAGTATCCACATGTGCAACTACAAAAAGGGGTAGTAAGATTTATGACTCAGGGCCTTGAAGACTACATGCTAATTAAAGTAAATAGAACTGCCTAACAATGCCTGGCATTTAGTCGATGCTCAGTGCCACCAGAATCTGAGTTTAGGCACGAGGCCATTGTCCTGCTACAGTTATCCAGTGGGGCTAAGGGAATCCTGCTGCCTTTCCCCCAACTTTGCCAATGTAAGGCAGAGGGACACTGGGTTACTCGGATCTTGGGCTATCTAGACCCACTTGTGCACCCTCCAATTCCTGGCACCCCTTAAAGTAAGCAGCTGTATCGTGCTCTAATGAGCAACCTGTTTGGAAGCCCAAACAGCTGTGTGGAAATCCGTGCTTCTCCCATGGGTGGAGGTTACTGTGGTTACTCACCCAGACTGACCCAGAGAAAGCTGGGTAAGGATGGGAAGGTCCCTGTTCCCTCAGCACACATTTATACCAGGCCCACCCAAGCCTTAAGGGACTCTGCCCCAAAGAGCTCAGATAAGGAAACACAGTGTGGCAAGTGCTATGAAGAGGGTAAGCATGGGACACCAGGGAGTCCACAGAAGCACTGCCCCCTCCTGGGGGCTAAGGACTGGAGGACTGTAGCAGTATCCAGGATGGAGAAGGCAAAAGACAATCCAGGCCTAGGGAAAAGCCTGCTTTACACAAACGCTTGGGATAAGAAAAGGGTGTAAGGAACCACGGGCAGGAGCCTGTTCTGTTACAGAGGAGGGGAGTGGAGACAAGGCTTGGGCCAGATCCCAAGCCACTGTTACTGCTGCCTCTGTGTGAGGAAGCCCAAAACCTTCCCTGCCCACCTCCCAAGGGTGGCTCACACAATGGCCAGCAGCAAGTGGGCAGAGCTAGGGAACAATCAGGGTGCTGCTGTGGGAGAGAGCAGGAACGTGTGCCGAGGACCCAGCCACAACGTTCAGTAGCCGACTCCAGCCTGCTGCTCTGTCCACTCTCCAATGCTGGCTGGTAGCCAGAGGCCTATGACACAGTTCCTGCCCTGTCAGAGGCTAGCCCTGTGCCGGCCCAGGGGAATCATTAAGTTAATGCTGAAACTGCATTACCTCTCCCACCTTTTAGCTAAAAACTCAGGATGACACACTGGCTCTGGCGATTGTTTTTAATTTAAGAAATCAAGCTGAACATACAAGAAGCCTGTAGACACTGGAATACACAAACATTAAGCTGCTGCATAGGATTCTTATGCCAAACAATGCATATCTGCATGAGGTCTCTCCAGCTATGGGGGTAAGATGGAAGAGAGGGAGCGTTTTCTAACTAGGTTGATGGTGGAGTGAGATGCACAAGTGGAAAAGAGGTTTTCACGTATAACCAGAGAACAGATATCACTGTGCAGTCACAACACACTTGACCAGGGCAGTTAGTTTGTACTTGTACTTGGCTGTTCCTGCTGCTGCTCTTTTGGCTTCTTCGTCTTCT